TCGGCCGTCCTGGAGCGTTGGGAGCTCGGAAACGCGCGACGGCTAAAAGCCTAAAAACAAAACAAATATGAAAATCAACGAGTTTGGCCTCTTCGGGTGCTCCTGGCACGCCTCTCGGAGCTCTCTTGGGGCCTCTTGGAGACCTCCTGGGAGCCTGGAGAGTCGTCGGAAGTCTGTCTTGGGCTGCTTGGGAGCTTCTTGGGCCGTCCGTTCGCGTCCTGGGGGCACCTTGGTTGGGAGCGTCTTGGGCCGTCCTGGAGCGTTTTGAAGGTTCCCTGGAACGCCCTGGGGCTCGGTACCGGGAGTTGCCCTCAAATGTCCTGGAGGTGTGGGACGCTCTGGGGGGGGGGCAGAATGAGAAAGAAGCACAGAGAAAGAGAGAGAGAGAGAGAAAGAGAGATAATAAAAAGAACAAGCAAACAACAAAAAGAGTGGCAGATAAAGAGAGAAAGAGGAGAGATCTAGACATAAACAATTCAAACCATACGTTATAAAATGATAGAACGATTGATAACGCGTGGGGACAAACAACATAACGATACCATATATGGTATATCTATGTGTACACATGCCGAACGAGCAGGGAACGAATGCACTTGTGTAGTTAATTGACCTCCACGGCCTTATGTATAGAGGGAGGCAGAGGGAACAACAACGAAATGGAAGGTCTACCCACCCGCGGCCAATACTGCACCTGGCGCTCGTTTGCCCTGAGCAATCGGGCAGAAGGCTCACAAGATGGAAGGCCTACAAACGCACGACCAACACTGCACTGCGCTGTCGCTCGCTCTGAACAATCCGGCAACAAACAAAAAAAATTAGGCCCACTGCACACACACACACACACACACACACACACGCAGCCAGGGCGGCAGCTTTTAGCAGTCAGCCCCCGGCAAGATGCGGACAAGGTGGCAGACCTGCACCACCATGGCCAAGACTGCAGATACAGACAGGGGGGGAAGACGGCAAGGCCTTCTCGGGGGGAGCGGTTTGGCCACATCAGGAGCCGCCGTGTGCGCTGACAGTCGCACGCGAGCTGTGGGAAAGGGAGGGACGGGGGGGCAAGACAACCCGGAGATCGCAAAAACATCGGGGCATCAGCATGGGGAGGACGAAAAAGCAGCGATGGGAAAAAGGCGAGAACATGTGACGCTCGACTTGTCCGGGACAGCTCTGCTCTGGGGTAACTCCGGTGTGGGCCCCCGACGCACGAACCAGGAGTTACCCCCGACCACCCCCAGCACCGATGCTTCGGGAATGGTGGACCGCCCGATTTATCCAAATGAACTCCGGCTTGGGCCGCCGAGGAACGAACTAGGAGTTACCCCTGACCGCCCCCAGCCCTGACCAGCCATGGAAGTGCGCCCTTTGCCCAGACCCCAGGAACCCTCAAAGACAGCTCAAATCAGGCCTCCATCCAAATCACAACCCCCTTTTATTGTGAACTCCGGAGTAGCCCCAGAGCATGTGCGGCTGCTTCTCGGGAACGAGCTGTGCACACTCCCTTACCAGCGCCCCACGCGTTCCGCCAAAAGCGTCCGCCCCTGACACTGCGGGCAGCCGTCGGCGCGAGAAAGAGGGGGAGCAGGAGGGAGGACGCTGGATGGATGAACAGCTGTGGGGGATGCCAAGAAAAAAAAGGACGATGGAAGAAAGAAGAACAAATGGAGAAAGGGTAGGGGGCCCGGCAGCTACGGATCGCACTGAAAAATAATGTGGATCATGGGTTGGATAAATGGGCTCGGGCCCGCTCAATTCGCCAGCCCAGCGGGCCAGAGGCGTGCTAGGATGTCTGGTAACAGGCAACCAGTATTTCAAACTATGTGTATACTGATAAATGGGCATTGCGCCCCATTGCCGGTGATTGACACGCCCTCTGGACTTTTCCTTGCGGGCCGCCGAACAAAAAAGTATACTCATACATACATGTATGCATATGTTTACCAACTTATATAAGTATATATGTATATGTGTAGGAAAGTGCATATGACATGTACATGCTTATGTAAAAGTAAATGCATATAACTGTATAGGTGTATATGTATATGTCTAGGTATTGGTCTAGGTATACGTCTGGGTACATGTATGGGTATATGTACATGTAGATGCATGTGTGTATGTATATGTCGATGTATGCGTATATGTACGCTGTATATAGATGCGTATGTATAGGTAGTCTCTATATGTGTGCATGTACATGTACAGGTGTATGGATAGGTATGTGCATAAGTATAGGTAGCGGTGTATGTAAATGTTTATGTGTATATGTACGTATATGCCTGAGTACATGTGAATGTGACTGCGTATGTGTATGTAAATGCATATGTGTATGAATGTGCGTGTGTGTATGTATAGATGTATGTGCGTATGTGTATGTGTATGTGTATGTATGTGTATGTATGTGTATATATGTATCGGAAGAGGGGGGGAGATCGCAGTGGAACGGAGACCCCCAACCGGGAAATCGTTTCGTTTCGTTCGTGTCGTGCGTGCGGACGAGGCGAAACTGCGAGGGCGCGCGAGAGAAATGAACCCGCCGTCGCTAGGGCGAAGTCAAGACAAATGAATCTCCCCCGTCCGTCCGCCCGTCAGGCGGTGGCTGCCAGTGTCCCGCGGTGCCCCGTGGTGTCCCGTGGTGTCCCGTGGTGTCCGCCGTTGCTAGGGCGAAGTGAAGACAAATGATTCTCCCCCGTCCGTCCGTCCGTCCCGCGGTGGCTCGCGATGTCCCAGGGTGTCCCATGGTGTCCCGTGGTGTCCCGTGGTGTCCCGTTGATTGAGATCGATAGTGACATCGATAGTGAGATCGATAGTGAGATCGATAGTGAGATCGATAAAGAGATCGATGTGGTGCCCCGACGTGTCCCGTGGTGTCCCGTGGTGTCCCAAAAAGTGAGACCGATAGTGAGATCGATAGTGAGAACGACAGGTGTCCCGTGGTGTCCTGTGGTGTCCCGTGGTGTCCCGTTGAGTGAGATCGATAACGAGATCGATAATAAGATCGATACTGAGATCGATGTGGTGTCCTGCGGTGTCCTGTGGTGTCCTGTGGTGGCCCAAAGTGAGATCGATAGCAAGATCGATAGTAAGATCGACGGGTGTCCCGTGGTGTCCCGTGGTGTCCCGTAGTGCCCCGTTGAGTGAGATCGATGATGAGATCGGTAGTGAGATCCATAGTGAGGTCGATGTGGTGTCCCGAGGCGTCCCGTGGTGTCCCGTGGTGTTCCATGGTGTCCCGTTGAGTGAGATCGATATCAAGATCGATAGTAAGATCGATACTGAGATCGATGTGGTGTCCCGCGGTGTCCTGTGGTGTCCCGCGGTGGCCCGTGGTGTCCCGTGGTGTCCCGTTGAGTGAGATCGATAGTGAGATCGATGGTGAGATCGACAAGTGTCCCGTGGTGTCCCGTGGTGTCCCAGGGTGCCCCGTTGAGTGAGATCGATTGTGACATCGATTGAGTCAGATGTTGGTTCCCCCCCTCTCTCCCCCCCCCACACAACCTCCTCATCACCCGAAGGGTGGTCGTATAGGTATGCATATGTGTATGGAAACGTGTGTGTATGTATATGTTAATGTGCATATATGTATGCGAAAGTGTGCGTATGTCCATCTGTATATATAAAAATGGTGTGCTGGTGCATGTGCAGTTATAATTATATGTGTATATGCATGTGCATTTGCATATGTATGTGTATACGCGTAGGGGCGGCCCCCGGGGGGCCCATGCGAAAAGTACCCCGGGCAGGTCCCCGGCAAGGTTCCCCAAGAGAAGGTGTTGTTCCTATAGGCGCCGCCCCCCGGGCCTCCCAGATAGGCCCAAGAGGAGCCAAGAGACGCTCAAGAAGCCATCGAAATGGCCCAAGAGAGCCCCGAGACGCCACAAGATCGCTCCTAGACGCCCAAGGTTATCTCCAGACGGCCCACGAGGCCTCCAAGACTCGCCAAGAGGCCTCCAGGAGGCCCCCTAATGGAGCCCCAAGAGGCAAAATGCATTGACTTCCCATGGGTTGTGAAGCATGTTCGCGCGTTCGCCTTGTCAGCTTCCCGACGCTCCAACGCAGCTCAAGAGGCCCCTAAGACCGCACCAAGACGTCCCCAAGATCCCCAAGAGAGCCCCAAAACAATCCCAAAACAGCCCAAGAGAGCACCAAGACTGCACAAGAGGCCTCGAAGACGGCCCAAGAGGCCCCCAAGACTGCTCCAAATAAGTTCCCAAGTTGGGGACCCGAGCGGCCATTTCGAGCTCTTTGCCCGAAGAGGCCCCAGGAGGCCCCAAGAGCCCCCCAAAGGCCCTTGGAAGGCTCCAGGAGGTTTCCAAAATACCGCCAAGAGGCCCTCGAGAGGTCTCCCGAAAGACCACAAGAAACTTACCAAGGAGGCGTCTTGTCCACGATCAAGATTGTTTCCAAAATGCCCCCAAGAAGCCATCGAGAGGCAAGAAGCGTCTAGTCCACGACCAAGGTTGGCTTCCAAGTATACCCCTCATAAGCCATCGAGAGGCCGCCTCCACATCCTCATCCTCCTCCTCCCTCTCCTGCTCCTCCTGCTGCTGCTCCTGCTCCTCCTGCTCCTCCTGCTCCTGCTCCTGCTCCTGCTCCTCCTCCTCCTCCTCCTCCTCCTCCTCCTCCTCCTCCTCCGCCTCCTCCTCCTTACCGCTGGCCTCAACAGCAACTGATTCAGCTCGAACGCTCCCTACGCACCGCGCCAGAGAACAAACGCGGCTCAACAGCACCACGTTGACAACGGACACACGGGGAACCGAGAGCCGTCAAACAATCCGGGCCAGCGGAATGAGCGAAGCGATCAAATACTTGAGCGTGACATCTCGGGCGGCCCCCCGCAGCGGGCCGCTGGCAGCTGCGCCGCCGCTCCGCGACGACGACGACAACGACGACGCCGCCGCCGCCGCCGCCGCGGCCGCCGCCGCGACAACAACGACGACAACAACGACGACGACGACGACGACGACGACGACGACGACGACGACGACGGGGCGCTCCTGCAGAAGCCGCCACGGGGCCAGCCCCGTCGGGCGCGGTTCCGGCCGCGCGGCGGCGAGGGAGCGGCCGACGGGGAGCGCGGCGCGGAGGAGGCGGGCGGCTCGCCAGACCTCGGCGCCCGGGTTGGCCACGGACGGCGGGCACGACGCGAGCGGCGGCGGCGGCAACGTCGACGGCGAACGACAACCGGCGACGACCACGGCGGCGCCCCCGCCATGCGTCGTGCGTCGTGCGTCGCGCGTCGCGTGTCTTCGTCGTCGTCGTCGGCGGCGGCGGCGGCGGCGGCAGCGGCGGCGATGTCCTGACCCTCGTCGTCGCGAGCTTCGTCGTTGCTGTCGTCGTCGCCGTCGCCGTCTTCATCGTTTTCGTCCCCGCGGCGGCGGTCGGCGTCGTCGCCCTTGTACTCATCCACGTAGCCAGCCTCGCCAACGGCTCGTCGGCGTGTGGAAGTCACCCTCGCCGTCGGCGCCCTCGCCGACCTACGACTGTGACGACGGCGAAGGCAACGACGACACCGCCGCCACCGCCGCCGCCAGCGTGTTCGACGTTCGTTTCCCGTCGTCGATCACCGCTCCGTCCCCTCGTTAGTCATCGGCCTCGTCGTCGCCGCTGCCGTCGTCTTCCCTGGCCCGCGTCGTAGTCGTCGCCGCCCTCGTCGGCGTAGCGTCGTCATCCTCACCGTCGCCTTTGTCGTCGCCCTCGGCGGCCTCCTTTTCCTGCTCCCCCTCCTCCTTCACCCCTCTCCTCCTGAAAAGGTCCTCCATGTCGCACCCCTAGACGTGTCGGCAGGGCGGGTCTGGCGTTTCGCCTTAGACTTCCTCGTCACCTCTGATTCCGGAGCTTGGAATTCGCAGCAGCTTTAATAAGACTGGGGCCGTTTTCGCGATGTGGCTCTCGCCTTCGCTACACGAGCATTTTGTTCAGATTGTTTTAACCTGTAGCATGGAGTACAGGTCGTTCTCGACATGCGGTTCGCGCCTTAGCGTCACGCGCACTCGTCACAAGAGCTTGCAACACCTCCAGGATGGACCACATACCGATTTTCAGTATGTGGCTCTCGCCTGAATACCGCGCGCATTCGTCTTAAAGTCTGCAGCATCTTCAAGAATGGATCGCCAATCGCTTGCGAGCTGCAGCTCTCATCTTAGCGCCGCGCGCAAATCGTTTTCGAAATGTGGTTCTCGCCTTGACACCGCGCACAATCGCACGACCACCCCCTTGGGCCAAGATGGTCTAGCGAGCTCTGTCTTTCCTCTTCCAAAGTTATCGTCCCTTCTGAAAAGGGTACCCTGCCCCTCCCCACCCATGAGGTTTTTTTGTTTGGGGGGGCCCATGAAGACTTAAAGCGTCTGAGATGGCCCAAAATTGTTCCATAAGGGCCTCCGGCGTTCCAAGATGGCCTCCAAGGCATCTCAAGATAGCCAGAAATAATTCAAGATTGCTTCTGGTATACCTCCTTGAGGAGCGACGAAGGCCACAGCGCGGTGCCAATTTCTACAAGCAGCCCCCGAGGACCCCAAAACAAATTAAAACACTTACAGAAACTCAACGATGTCTGCCTTCTCGCCTTTTTTCTTCCGATGCGCCTTTGAAGCCTGAAGGATGGCTCAAACATGGCCCAAGAGAGCCCCAAGAGGGACCCAGGCCCTCCAGACGGCCCCAAAAGCGTCCAAGAGCGGCCCAAGAGCGCACCAAGAGGACCCCAGGGGGCTAGTTCAAGGACCCCAGAGGGGGACTTCACGTTTGGACCCCTCTCTTGTCACCGACGCCCTCCACGATAGCCCCAAGAGGCCCTCCAGGGCTCAAGAGCTTCTCAGAAGAGCTCCACAAGAGCCCTAAGAGGGCCCCAAGACCCCTCAAAAGAGCCCGAAGAAGACCGCAAGACCCCTAAATAGAGCTCCAAGAGGGCACATATATAGCCCCAGGAGGACCCCAAGAGGGCCCAGAAATATTTCCACACTCGCTCATCTACGCTGCTACCCCCGCATACGCGCTAACACAAGTCTACCATCCCTCCAATTCCCCATCAGCTCTCATGGGCAGCGTTTGAACCACGATGTAGGTGCTGGGCACCAAGCCGAGCAAGGCTCCAGAAGCGACAGTGGGTGGGCCAACGCAACTCCAGGATGACCGTGGCGCGAGGCCCATCCGTACCCAGGCAACCTTGTCGAACGAGCAATGAATGCCGCTGGCTGGGATACGCGAAGCGTGAAGAATTGGCACCAGTTTCGAGGATGCAGCGCTTGTCGCTCTTACATTGCGGTTGTCGCCTCAACGCCGCGCGCATTCTTGATCTTAAACGCTTACAGCATGTTCAATACTGAAGCTCAAGTCGCGTTCGACATGTTGCCATCGCCCCGTCGCCGCGCATACCCGATACAAAGTTGCAGCAGGTAAATGATGGAGGGCGCCACTTTGTCAAAATGTTGCCTCGCCATAGCAGCGCGCGCATTCGCCTCAAAAGATGCAACGGTGTCGGACGATCAAGCACAAATCGTTCCAAACTCTGGCGATCGCCTTAGCGTCGCGCGAGGCACAGGCCAAAGTGTGGTGTTCGGCACAGCCCCGCGCACATTCACCTGAAAAGTTCGCAACACCTTCTAAGACAAAGCCCGGGCCATTTTCAACACGATGATCTCGCTTTGGTGCCGCGCGCGTTCGCTCTGACGCATCTGTAGTTTCACGGATGGAAGCGAATCCTTTTTCAAAGCACGGCACTGCAACAGTGCAACGAGTCCATTTCCCTGGCGAGGGGCCCATACGCATGCAGACGCAATCATCGCGAGGCAAATGGGAAGCAGGAGAGGGGCAGACGGACTGGGGCGCCCAGGAGGAGGAGGATGAGGAAAAGGGCAGACGAGGAGGAGGAGGAGGACAAGGGCGAATGAAGGCACACGGGGGCAAGGCCGACGAGCGATCGAGCGCTCGGGGAGACCTTCCTTTTACGCGCCAGCAAGATGCAAGCCCGTGGCCCGCCAAGCAGCCGAACGCAGAGGAGCCCCTGCGACGCGCGCTGGTCGCTCCGAACCAAGTTGGGCGGGGAACCGCGTGCGAATCCTACCCCGACGGAACTCCAGGGCCACGGAACACGTGAGGGGTGTGCCGACATGGGCGGGGAATAGCATGAGAACCCTGCCGCTGACGCCTTCAGTGGAGCTCCCTGTGGTCACGAAGCGTGTGAGGCGAGGAGAGAGCAGATGCAGAGGAGAAGGAGGAGGAGGAGGAGGAGGAAGAGGAGGAGGAGGAGGAGGAGGAGAGGAGGAGGAGGAGGAGGAGATTGTGGAGGAGGAGGAGGAGATTGTGGAGGAGGAGAAGGAGCAGAGTCCCTGATTGGCCGCGCGGAAGGGCAGGATGGGGAGAGGCGAGGAAGGAGGGGCCGCGCGCGGTCGTTGTCCCACTGCAGCGTTCGGAAGTTAACGGGCGAAGAACGGTGTAAAATAAACTTTTTCGCTGTCGGGGGCGCCTGCCCCTGGGCGGCTGGAAAGTTTATACCCTTACGGTGGCACCGTAGGGGTATAAACTTTCCAGCCGCCCAGGGGCAGGTGTCCCGACGGGGGAAAGTTGATGTTACGCCGTTCTTCGCTCGCTGAGGAAGGACGGGCGGCTGCTCTGTGTTCGGTTGGGTTTTTTTATCGCTGGAGACGTCGCTGGCCTCGAAAAAGGCACCGCAGCTGCAGCCCGCGCAGCACCTGCACGGGTCCCGGGTCGCCCATTTCGAGGTGGAGCTGCCGCTCGAGACCCTCGCGGATGCCGTGGCCGCGGGCGACAGCCAGCGCAGCAGCTACACGGATGGGGGGCGGTCCTTCTTCGAGAGGCCAATCGCGCTGGGCACCTCGCTGAACTGTCTGATCATAGTCGCTCACGCTCCTGATGACGCGCCCCCGAGATGCAAAGCAGTTCCTGTATTCAAGCGGGGCCCTCGCCAACCTGGCAGGCCCAGCTGTGCTGGTCTTTCAAGGGGGCGCTTCGGGAAGTGAAAAGGAAAGCGTGTGGGGACGCACGGGACGGGACTCAAGACGGGAGGGTGTCTTGCACCATCCCTGATGCATATTTGGTTTACTCTGGTCCTCCTCCTCCCTCCTCCTCCTCCTCCTCATCCTCCCTCCCTCCTCCTCCTCCTCCTCATCATCCTCCTCCTGTTCCTCCTCCTCCTCCTGCCCTGTGCCACACTTGCACTGGGGCCCACTGGCAGGTACCAAGAACGGTGACGCGGGCACGGGAGAGCGACCGTGCGCTCTGGGACAAGGATGAGTTTGGCTCCCTGCCAGACCACACCAACCCAACCCGGAGGCCCGAATTTCGGGTTGGGGGGGTAAGGGCTCCATACGTGTTTTTTCGATGCTCCGCGACCCCCCCACACTGGAAATGAAGGGCAAATCTGAGCCTTCGGGTTGGGTTGGGGTGGTTTGCTGGGTGGTGAGAGTTTGGCTCCCCTGCACCCTGGTCAATGTGGTCTGAACTTGGTCAACTGCCTTTGCGTCAGCTGCAGCAGCGACCGGGCACTTCCAGGGTGGTGGCGCTGTGCGGCACGTGAACCCGATGTGGATTCGCGCCCACTCCCGGGCGGGAATACTCGGGCTCGAGATCGGTTATCTCACCCGGTGCCAGCGCGGACACCGTATGCGCGGGCCCGTCGGCTGCTACCCCAAGGTGGCCCTGCTGCTCTGTGAGCATACGGCTCAAAACCGTCAGTGAGTGAACCATGCCAGTGCAGCCCTCGCAGTGTCGGGTGAACCATGGATGCAGAGAACCGTCGGCGGGGCGGCGAGTCACTAGGCGACTAGCCCCCTTTATGCCCCGAGTCACCTCCTCGTCTTGGCGGCATAGAGCATTACCGCATGAGACGTGGACAGAGGTCCCGTACAGTGGTCCTCCTCCTCCTCCTCTTCCTCCTCCTCCTCTTCCTCGTCCTCCTCCCCCTCCTCCTCCGCCTCCTCTTCCTCCCTCTCGGGTCCGACGAAGCGGGGGGGGTTCAAGGGATGTTCGTGAATCAGCTCACGTGGCTGACTTCCTGAGTGCCTCCCGGCGCCAGAGACGCCAGTGTATAGAGGGAAGCGCCCGTCGGCGAAATACCCAAACCAGCTGCATGCAGCAGATTCCTTGCACCCCCCCCCCCTTCTCAATCCCCCCCTTTCGTCCGACCCGAGGGGTGTGCTGATTGATCGTGCCGGAGGGGTGTGCTTGTTGCGAGCGTGCAGCAGTGATGACCCGTACGTTCGCCGCCTTCGCAGGGCGAGCCGCTCCCCGAGCTGGTCGGTCGGACGTTCCGCTGCGCTGCGGCCGACCCGATGCTCCCCTGCAGCCAGGAACTGTGGCCGGATGCTTCTGCCGCGGGTCCGTGCCGTGTCGGCCCTGGCCCTGGTTCCTGAGACCGTGGGGGTCGTTCAGCCTTACACGGCCGGCCATTTCCGAGACGTCAGATCGTTCAACATCGACCGATTCTGGGTCGCCGGCGGCGTCCGACGCTGAAAGCCAGCGACGGGTTCGCAAGCGGTCGACACGACGCGAGCCTACCGTGATCAAACCTGTGGCTGGGCGCCCGAGCCGTTCGACCCGCGACCCTCCAGGCTGCCGCAGGTCGGAAGTGGGGGAGGAGGAGCAGAAAAAGGACGGAAGACACGCGAGGGAGGGAGGGAGAGTGGAAGGAGGAGAGGATAGGGGAAGGATAGCGTTGTGAAGGAGGAGAGGAGAGGAAGGAGGAGAGTGGCAGGAGGAGAGGATAGGGGAAGGATAGGAGGAGAGTGGAAGGAGGAGAGGATAGGGGAAGGATAGCATTGTGAATCAGGAGGTGAAGGACGAGGAGTAATGGGCGAGGAGAAGGGGAGAACAGAGCATTCGAGAGCATCTCATCCTGTTTCCTCCTCGTGCTCTCATCCTGCCCCTCGTCCTGCTCCTGTTGCTGCTTCTCCTCCTCCTCCGACATTATCCCTCCTGATGCTGCTGCTCATTCTCCTTTGCCTCCTCGCTCCCCCCACCCTCAAGCTTCCTCCAATGATGTTGTCCTGCTCTCCTCCTCCTCCTTCGCCTCCGCATTCGTCCCTCTCTCCATACTCCAGCTGCTCATCTCCTTCACCTCCCTCTGATTCTTCCCGACGAACCCCTACTTCACCCCGCTACCTCCCTCTCAGACGCTCAGCCGCCCCGATGCGCAACGCGCAGCACGTGGCGTACTGATGCGGAGCTCAACACGCAGACTGAACACGTGGGTATGACGCGATACGTTCGCCAAGACGCGGGCCAGCACGCTCAACCAACAACGGACGTATGGACACGGACGTTTTGAGCACGGCACGTGCTAAGCTTAGGTCGGGCATGTCCTCCTTCAGGGGGATGATGGGCGGAAGCCAAATAATCAGGTAAACAATAATCAAAGAATACTCCTACCATCGTCCCCTGACTATGTTTCACTATTTTTGACTACTCCTCCTGAAGAGGGACAGGCCCGACTTTATGCTAAGCTTCAAAACGGGCGTAGCGAAGCAGCTGAGCTCACACGCACCCGTCCTCGTCTCCAGCGCAGCCCGGCGGGCTCCCGATCCCCGCGGGAGGGAAAAGACGACCCAGGGGAGCAGCAGCAGAAGCAGGGAAGGAGGAAGGACGATCCCCGAGCGACCCGGGCTGTGACTACAGTGGAGGCCAGTCCACAAAGAAACCTTGCACAAGAAACCCAACCCTGAGACCCCAGGGCGTCCATCGATTGTTGGGGTGGGAACCTCACGATATCCATAGCAAGGCCATCGATACCCAAGAAACCCAGGGCACCCTGGAGGCAAGCAGGGTGATTCTTGGCATGGGCTTCCACTCTACGAAGAAAAACACAAACAAGAACTTCCAGATCTCCGCGCGGATCAGCGCCCGCCTGACGGGGACTCCACTGACGGGAACTTTGGCCAGTGGCCCGGCGAACCCAACCCTCCCCGATGCGGGCAACGCTGCAATGCCATAAAGAGGCCCTAACAGAACAACTTATGGGAAATTCCCCAAAAGGCCCATTATGTAGTGAGTACCCGTTACGGTGCCGCTGAATGGATTTCTTGGATCGGCGCTGGACCCCCCTCCTGGCGCCGACCGAATACATCCGCCCAGAACTCCGAAACTTTATGTCATATGTCTATGTTTTCGTTTCGACTCTTGCATCACCCCTTCCTCCCAAATGAGACGGCGACACCGGCGCGGCGGAAGGATACGGAAGTTCTCTCTTCAGGAGGCGTTTCTGGCGCAGGTCTGGAGCCTTCAGGCGTGCGGGGCTCGGACGAGTGCTCCCCTCCTCCTCACCCTCTGCAATCGAAACATGGCCCCAAGAACGCGGACCGAGAGCTCCCGTGGAAGCACCCGAAACGTAGGAGACACTGGGCTATTCCGCTTCCACACGCCCTGCCGCCTTTGGATAGCTCGGTTGCGCGATTCGGCGACGAGCAGGGGGGGGACGTGACAGGAAGAAGACCCTCTCAGAAGGCAGTGGGACCTCTCAGAAGCCCTCCAGCCTTCTGAAAAATGTTCTGCGTCTTCCAGGAAGGCTTCGACAACTTATCAGAAGGCTGGAGAACTTCTGAACCTTCTGAGAAGGCCCGCCCCCCCTTGTTTCCCCCTCGGGCACGTTGTCGAACGATAGTCGACCCCCCTATGCCAAAAAAAACATGGCTTCCCGTGTTGGACACAATCGGAAAACTGTCTGACGTTATATTGCCAGTGATGAGCCACGCCCACATTGCAGAGCAGGGGGGGGGCTGGGAAGGGGCATGCCAATCCGGGACCAAAACCTCGCCCCGACCGGTGGCCGCCGCGGTCGCCGCGGCGACCTCCCAAACCGACCCAGAGGTTCGGGTCGGGGCCGGATATCACGCAAGGGTACCCATCGGTCGGAAGAAATAGGTAGAAACACGAAGTAGGACGGCGCTGAAAATAGACTGGGTGTCCGCCCGCTCCATGAGGAGGACGGAGCAGGTGGAGGCACTCGATCATTGCAGCAGGACGGCGCTGAAAGTAGATTGGAATCGGGGGCTCCACACATACCTGCTCTCGACGACCGATGGTGAACTGCCCCCACCCATGCGGGCAATACTTCTGTCCATATCCACTGCAGTATGGAGTTTCGGGCTCCCTTCCCAAGAAACCCGAGGCGCACTGGATATGGATAAATTGGCCCCCCAGAGGCTCGATGCTTATCCACATCCAGTGCGCCTCGGCCTTGTGGCGCCGCTCCCAAAACAGTCCAAGAGGCACTGGATATGGACATGAATCTTGCCCGCAACCCGGGCCCCCGCTGCGACCATCGCTGCAGAGGGCCCTGCCGCAGCGACCTCGAGAAGCTGCAAAACGGCTGCGACGGTGGGCGCACGCGCGCCGCGGCGGGTGCGCGCCCGCCGTGCGGAGGGACGCCGGGGCGCACCTGCGAACGCAAGCAAACTTTCTCTGGAGGCAGCCAGGAATTTGGACGCCCGAAATGGGCACGGAAAGAATGGGTACAATGCCCAACGACCAATGTTGTCCCAAACCAACAGCGGCCACTGTTGGGCAGGCTGCCCTCTGTCTCACATGGACACAGGCCGTGGCGGCGCGGACAGCGAGTCCTGTTCAAAATGAACAGGAACTGCTGCTGGGCATTGTACCCATTCTTTCCGTACCCATTTCGTCCGTGCAGAAGGAAGGTCTGAGCTGGCTGAGCCCCGGGAGAATCGGTCAAGAGGGGGGGGTGATGGACGAATCCGCTTAGAATCGCTCCCTGGGCCGGTCCCGAGGCCCGCCTGGTCAGTTCTTTCCCCACGGATTCGTGCTTGCCAGCACCAGGGCCGACAACGGCCACTGGAGACCGAAAACAACAACAACAGCAGCAGCAGCAGCAGCAACAACAACAACGACAACAACAGCAGCAGCAGCAACAAAAACAACCGCAACAGCAACAACAACAACAGCAGCAACAACAACAACAACACCAACAACCACAACAACAAAAGCAACAACAACAACAACAACAACAACAACAACAACAACAACAACAACAGCATCAACAGTTAGTTTGAAATTGTTCGCTCCTATCTGCTCACGTGCTAATCAATACGTGCATCCCAAGCCCTCGGCACCCGCCCTCGTCGTCTTCGATCGTACCCCCTTGGGGATATATATTCCTTACCTATACGACCACCCTTCGGGTGATAAGGAGGTTCGGGGGGGGGAGGAACCAACGTCTCACTCGATCGGTCTCACTATCGATCTCCCTATCGATCTCAGTCTCGGTCTCGCTCGATCGATCTCCCTCGATCGATCTCAAAATCGATCTCACTCGATCTATCTCACAATTGATCTGACTATCGATCTCATAATCGATCTCACAGTCGATCTCACAATCGATATCACATTCGGTCTCACTATCGATCTCACTATCGATATCACAACCGCTATTACAATCAACGTCATCATCATCATCATCATCATCATCATCATCATCATCATCATCATCATCATCATCATCATCATCATCATCATCATTATCAACAACATCAACATCAACATCATCATCATCATCATCATCATCATCATCATAATCGGGACACCGTCCTCATCATCAACACCAACATCAACATCATCACGGTCATCAACATCATCGGGACACCACCATCATCATCATCATCATCATCACCATCATCACAATCATCAACATCATCATCAGCAGCATCGGGACACAGTCATCGTCATCATCATCATCATCAGCAGCATCATCATCGGGACGCCATCATGATCACCATCGTTATCATTATCATCATCATCATCATCAGGACACCATCATCATCATCATCATCATCTCATCCTCATCATCGACATCCTCATCATCAGCATCATCAACATCATCATCAGCATCATCATCATCGTCATCATCGGGGCACCATCATCATCATTACCAACATCAGCATCATCATCATCATCATCACCATCGGGACGCCATCATCATCAACATCATCATCATCACTATCAGAATAATCATCATCGGGACGCCATAATCATCATCAACCTCATCATCATCAACATCATCATCATCGGGACACAATCATAATCAGCATCATCAACATCATCATCATCATACTCATCATCGGGACACCATCATCGTCATCATCGTGATCATCAACATAATCATCATGATCATCATCATCCTCATCATCGGGACACCATAAGCATCATCATCATCATCATCATCATCATCATCATCATCATCAGCATCATCATCATCAACATCATCATCATCATCATCGTCGTCGTCGTCGTCATCATCATCATCATCATCATCATCATCATCATCATCGACATCAACAACATCATCATTATCATCATCATCATCATCATCGGGACAAAATCATCATCATATCATCATCATCATCATCATCATCATCATCATCATCATCATCATCATCGTCCCCATCATCATCATCATCAGCATAACCATCATCATCATCTCATCATCATCAGCAGCATCATCAGCATCACCATCATCATCATCATCATCATCATCTCATCATCGTCATCATCGTCATCGTCATCATCATCATCATCATCATCATCATCGTCATCGTCATCGTCATCATCATCATCATCATCATCATCATCATCATCATCATCATCATCATCATCATCATCATCATCATCATCATCATCATCATCATCATCATCATCGCGGAACACCGCGGGACACCGCGGGGCACCGCGGGACACCGCGGGACACCGCGGGACACCGGCGGGACACCAGCGGGACACCGCGCGCCACTGGCCGCCCGGAAGAGACACATTTGGTCCGGCCGCGCCTCAGCCACAAGGACACCGACGGGACACCAGCGGGACACCGGCGGGACACCGCGCGCCACGGGCCGCCCGGAAGAGACACATTTGGTCCGGCCGCGCCTCAGCCACGGGAGACTTTCCTCTCGCCCGCCCACGCAGCTTCGCCTCGCCCGCGCGCACGGCACGCACGAACACGAAACCGAAATCGATTTCCCAGTAGGGGGGCTCTCCGTTCCACTTCGATCTCACCCCCTCACCTCCGACCTGCCACGTGCATTTAGTGCAGCCCCTAACACAAGGGAAGAGAGGACGGTTGGAACAAGGAGGGAGAAGAATGGAGCACGAGAGAAATTAGCAGGACAAGGGCAACGAGCAGACAACAAGTGGTAGAACCAGACGGGCAGATCGGGTGGGAAGACCCATAGCGGGCAGGTCGGGAAGGCGGGCCCAGGCGACGAGGTCGAGCAGGCGGGTTGCTGAAGCGTGGGTCCTGCATGAACCGCGAGGAAGCCTCGAGCGATAGCGCGATTTCTAAATGAATCGTGAGAAAAGCCACCGTGGGCCACGAATGGCATAAAATCCGAGGCCACAGAGGGCAGCGACGGGGCCGCTGAGGGCAGCACCGGGGCCACGACGGGCGGCGAGGGGGCCACAATGGGCGACAGCAGGGCCACGAAGGGCATGCATATGGGGCAACGACGGGCGCGAGCGAGCGGGGGCCACCAAGGGCATTCGTATACGGGGCCACAGAAGGCGACAGCGGGGCCACTGAGGGCAGCAAAGGGGCCACAAAGGGCAGCGAGGAGGCCACGAAGGGCGACAACGGGGCGACGAAAGGCATGCGTATGGGGCCACGACGGGCGCGTGCGATCGGGGGCCACGAAAGGCATAAATGCGGGGCCACAAATGGCAGCGACGGAGCCTGAGGGCAGCAACGGGGCCACGAAAGGCAGCGAGCGAAGGCGACCGCGGAACGGGCAGCGAGGGGCATCGAAGGCGGGCGAAGGGAAGCGAGCGGCGACTGCAGTCATTAGCGCGCTTGTCGGGCGGGCAGGCCCCGACGGGCGGGTCGACCGGGCGGGTCGTTGAAGCGTGAGTCCTGCTTGAACCACCAGGCAATATGTAGCGGGAGCGCGATTCCTGAGTGTCGAGGACCGGCATCTGAATAAATTGCGAAGAAATATCAAGCGCAGCGGTTCGGTGGTAAGTTGCGAGGAGGTACCAAGCGAGAGCGCGATTCTGCAATGAATTCTCAAGAAGTGTCAAGCGGGATCCGCGCTTCGGTGGTAAATTGTAAGGAAGTCCTAAGCGAGAGCGCGATCCTTCAATACATTGTGGGGAAATATCAAGCGGGAACCGCTGTTGTTGCAAACCGGGGGCCAACGACGCAGTTCGAGCCTCAAGAGCTTCCCTGATAAAGCACAGGGCGCGAGCCCTGGGAGGGGCACTTCAATCGAAAAAATATCATGTGCACCGGGAGGGGATCATAATTATTCTTCAGAAGTGAGAGTTCGAACAAGGTCAAGGCGGTCATGAGGGGCGCGAGCCCTGCGTACGCCTTGCCCGACTTGGCAACAATAGTCAAAGCGGGTGAAAAGGACGCCGGGCCAGCAGCCACCACCACCCCAGCAACCCACTAGCCCCAACCAATCAAAAATAAGGAGATCCTTTTCTAAAGGCCTCCGGAAGAAACCCACGTCGGAGTTCGATGTCTTCTCTGGCGGGGCCCCGGTCCTGCGTTAACCCTGGACTTCCATGGGAACCCTTATGGGGTCCGTATAGAAGCCCTATACGAGCCTATGCAATCCCTGTAATGACCCTAGAGGAGCCAATGCCATCCGTGCAGTGGCCCTACAGGATCCCTCTTGTGACCGCATAGTCCCTGTACTGGCCCTATAGGAGCCTATGACATCCCTGCAGTGGCCCTACAGGATCCCTCTTGTGACCGTATCATCCTTGTGGTGGCCCTATAGGAGCCTCTGAGATCCCTGCAGTGGCCCTACAAGATCCCATAAGTGACCGAAAAGGGACCCCGTAAAAGCGCCTGGGTGAACCGATCGAGATCCGATTGGATCCCTACAGTGACCCTATAGGGACCCCATGGAGGTGCGTTGGGGTCCTTTGTAGATCCTATACGATCCTGATCGAAACTTTAGAAGAGCCTCCAGGACTCTCATGGAGATCCTGCAGAATCCCTATAAAGACCATATGGAAGCCCTATGCCTGTGCGACCCCTTCTGGAGACGCCACACGTCCTCATTAAAACCCTACTTTGGGGACCCTGCACAGACTTGTCCGGTCCCTATAGGACGAAGCTGCCAGATTACACCGACAAGACGCGCTGATAGCGTGCGGTAGCGAATCAGGCTTCCCGTTTTGTCATTCCTCCTTCTCCTCCGCCTCCTCCTTCTCCTCCTCCTCCTCCTCCTCCTCCTCCACCCCATCCTCCCCATCAACATGCCCATCCCCGTCCTCCTGCAGCTGCTCCTCTTCCTCCTCCTCCTCCTCCTTCTCCTCCTCCTCCTCCTCCTCCTCCTCCTCCTCCTCCTCCTCCT